ATTTCAGTCTATCTCAAATGTTCTGTCACTAATGGTAGGTTCTGTTTGGTTTACAATATGTCTGTTAATTCAAAACAATCGCCATATGTCTTTAAATGTTTGTCATATGGTGAGGCACAATATATAGTCTGTCTGGGCTCTATTGAGATACTAGGCTGCTAACACATTGTCTCCCTCAGAGATTCTCATTTCTGCAAAGTAACTAAACAATACTCAATAGTCGGTTATATTGAAATGCCTCATCACATTCCTTATTGGTAAAGATGAAATATCTCGCATTAATTCAAATTTACTCTGAGCTTTAAGTACATACTTTAAATATGCAACCTCGTATCTGCAAATAAAAAAGCCGTCATTCTTTAGGGAAAAAAGTCGATGTCATTATAAATCATGTTAATTAAAGAAATTTAAAAGAACATTAATTCAAAATTGATTATGTCACGTCATAATGTGATGACTTCATTAAGGAGAATGCGTGACGTTACGCGGCAAAATCTGTAAAAAATACTTAATATTACTTAAAAAGCATGAACTAAAAAAAAATGTATTTGTTTAATATAATTGAAAATATATTGAAAATTTTTCATTCGTGAACACTTTCTATTCTACTTTAACTCGTGGCTACGCCACTCGTTAAATACTGCATCTTATGTTCACTCACTAAAATATATCTAATATTAAAAGCAAAACAAACAAATAAAAGCAAAACCAACAAATATCCGGTATCTAAGAAACAGAAAATTCAAGTTTTTATATATTCAATCTTAAAAGCACTCGTGATATATTTATTTATTATACTGGTCACTCGCTGAAAAAAAAAACAACATGAATTTAATAAATTATTAAAGCAATGCTGTATCTTATCCAAGTTAATACAACTTAAATCGTTGTAACACATGCAATGCGGAATATATAAACTTTTTTATAAACCTAATTCATTAGTGTGGCAGAATATAAGGATCTTACACTTGCTGCTGGTACAGATCGGAATATCTAGCTTGAGGATAAATGTTTACGTCGGTAACGAGGCTCTGCCGAATTGTAGCTAAACAGTTACCATGAGAGCTAGATATGCGTGTCTTAATCGACAGCCGGTGTTTGATTCTGTTTTCTTGCATCAGACAATAATGGTTAAGAAATCACGAACATAATTTTCATTTAGCTCTTTTGCGAATAGTATCGTACGAATTCACAGCTTCATTCATAACGGCAAAATGAAGACATTTTACGTACATAAATCATTCACAAACGGCGCGCGGGGATGGCCTCATTTAAAGCGCGCGACTTATCTTAAATAGGAGAGTGAGATTTGGGTGTAAGACATGCTTTATCCAAACAGTAGATAATCCTATCTGATATGCAATTTAAATCATGTTTGCAACATTTAGTATCTTTGATGAAAAATAACAATCCTTTTGATTTCATATTTTACAGTTAATTGGTGAACCAGTTTTAGACGATGAAAAAGAAAAGAACATGTTCCAGGATGAAATACACGTTGAAGATTTCTTTCTGAACTCTTATGTAAACTTCATTATGTCAGTGTTACCATTTGTACGATATATCCCTGGAAGGTACAAACAAGAATTCCTAAAGGCAAAGGCTGTTAATGCAAAAATTGTAAAGAAATATGTTCACGATGTCAAGGTTTGCTTTCTTACATTTTGTACAGGGTTTAGTAAAATTGATACTGTTTGATAGGTTGATGTACACCTATCTATAACTTTTGAAAATTAAATAGAAAACTTTGGTATGTGTTAAAATATTATGACAATTCTAACTTATATGACAATATGTTTAAATATCTACTATGTAAATGACATGCATCTTGGTAACGTAAAAAGGTATAGGTATACTTTCATTGACTTTTTTAGAGAATATTTTCCCGATGTTCACATCATGTACAAGTTTATAATATAAGTTGATGCTGTGCAACTTTTCTATGACAGAGATCATTTGTCAGAGGAAAAGTCTGTGGTATCGTTGATGTATTTCTCGAGGAACAGAACCAACAAAAAGAAGCTGGAGGGGAGGTTTTTTTACGGATGATACAATTATAGCACAAGGGGTGAGCATTATTATAATAATTAATAAAGTGATGATCTCAAGAAATAAACTGTATTACAGATGATAAGAATCTAACACTCGCTGCCGGTAAAGTCGGAATATCTATCTCGAGGATAACTGTTTACGGTTGTAACGAGGCTCTGCTGAGTTTCAGTAGCTGAGTAAACAGGTTACCGAGAGCTAGATATTTCCGTCTGTACCGATGCGTTTGCTTGCATATTGCATATCAATTATTTTCAGAACAAAAATTAGAAAAAATGATAGATATTCTCATTACGCACTTTTTTGCTTATTGTAGCGTATTAACTTACAATTTTATTTTTAAAAGTAAAATGACGTCATCTTAAGAACGCAATTCAGTCATAAAAAGGCGCGTGGCCACGATGTCATTTAAAGCACGCGACGTGTCTTACAACGGGGTGTATGTAAATTTTTTTCTACCACCGTCGAAAACGGTAGATAATCCTTTCTGATAAACGAGAACAATGTAATATTTGATGCTCAGAATAATACATTATTCTAACAACTTTTGACAGTGATATAATACCCCGGTCACATATTCACGGAAGAGCCACGAATTAATTCCGGCATCATCCGTAGCTACCCGTACTGGTCAGTAGCTCTCCGTATTGTAACCGTAATCAATCGTAGTAGTCCTTCAAGTTGTATATCCGTAGCGATCCTTGACAATTTTTGAACATGCAAAAAAATTTGCTACGGAAAAATCAACCGTAGCGTATCCCTGCTAGTCCGTATTAAACCGTACTGGTACGTACTGGTCCGTACAAAAACCGTACTAGTATGTACTGATTCGTAGTCTACCAACTTGTCAAGGATTTTCACGGTTTGGTACGGAGAACTACGTATTTGTACGGTTACCCTTCGTATAAGCTACGGTTTTAATACTGATTAATACGGCATTGTCACGGAAAGTCACGATCGTATTACGTTGTACTACGGAGAGGCAAGGATTAGCACGGTCTTAAACGTTTTATTGCGTTGCAACACGAAACGGTACGGAATGGTACGGTCCACTACTGTTTAGTACGGATGAATTAAGTATCATGTACTTTTTCAAGGGTATAAATACTACCTTCGTGTTTAAAACAGACATATTTGCGGGAACATTCAGTAAATGATAATTGCCATTTACTGGCTGCAACTTAATATTGATACGGAGGCAGTGGTCGAGCTGCTTGATGACATGCATAGAAGTAAATTTGTATTGATATTGTACTACAATTCATAAGTAATATAATAACATTTAATGGTACATATTTTACAAACATTGGACTAGTGGACTGGAGATGGGCTTACGAATCTGGAAACAAAGTAATCCCTCGAAAGCATTAATCACAACAAAATTACATAAGAATTGCAGACTCGGTTTGATTAAATCTGTACATGAGAGATAATGAATAAGTGCAACATCCCTCACGCCCCCTAGCACCTGCTTAAGACTGCTTCATGTTTAGTAAGAGGCTCTCATGGCCGAACTTGTTGAGGATACAGCGTCCTTCAAGAATATCACTTTAATCAGACTTGATGTGTCTCGGGGGTCGGACGCGATTACGCCGAATCCTCTCCGCCAAAATTATTGCAATTCACTAGGTGTTCTTTTCTTTTTAGGCATTTTGAAAATGAGCAAGCAAGAGGTTGTGGACGGATGTATTAGGTCCGTATAGATCCGTGGCAATTCGTTCCTCTCCGTATCAATTCGTTCTTCTCCGTATCAGACCGTATTTATTCGTACTAACCCGTGCTTATACCGTAGCAGACCGTAGTGTATCCGTAGTGCGTCCGTCCTGATTCGTGTCGCTCCGTATCAAACCGTGTCAGTCCGTAACAATCCGTGTCTCTCCAGGGGCTTTTGGTGGTTAATCCGTCGGACTTCGTACTCATACCGTTGTGTGTCCGTACTGGAATCGTAGCGGACTACGGAATTTAACATTTCCGTAGTAAACCGTGAACGATTAGACCGTAGCTCTTCCGTGGCATTATCCGTTGATATGTGACCGGGGCATTAAGCACATTTTTGTTTGACCTATGAAGTGATAAAGACATAGGACTAAACTTGATAACGTTATTATTTTTGATTTGATGAAGTAACCGTATTAGTGTAAAATAAGTGTCACTGTTTTGTTTCATCTCAAGATGTACACCACAGCTTCCTTTTAACAATTATTTTTTTTTTGTAAGAAACAAAAAGATCTGCACATATAATTATTGTATTTAATCACCATTACCCACGTTTGGCAATATATGAAAAACACATGACTGATGGGGTGAAAGAGGATATTATCAACCCAAGAACTGGTATATTACCCCGTGGCGCAGACATGTGTTTTTTTATTTTATTATACCAAAATACCTACAACTACAATATTTATAAGGTACGCTGTCAAGGGAATAAATAGAATACACATCAGAGTACACATCAGTAAGAAATATTCACCGGGAAAAATCTCCTAGAGTAATATTCAACAGAACACATAATAAGCCTATACTGAATATGTAGTTATGCAAAAGTTATGTGCCCCAAGGTGATATAAGAAATATTCCCCTTAGAGTATTTATCAGGAGGGTGATATTCAATCAGAACAAATACAAGACCTATGTGAGATTTACTTTGAAAGATATATTGAGGTGTTGCAGTAATAAATTGTTTTATTTCATCACACGTACACAACGCACAACACGTAATCACATGAGCGAAGATGTTTCCATTCTATTACATATCTGTTAAGTAACATTAACATAGCTTTATACAAACATGATTTGTAATACAATATAGATCTTCTTAAAATCAAATATTTTTAATATTTGCTCTTTTGATCTCTTAATCCTGCAAGATTTTTATTTATTTGTTACCATTTTATAGGAATCACAACAACTTGGTCAGTTCTTTCAAATACAGTGTTACTATTACTGAATTATCCACAATATCATTGGCTGCTCCAGAATGAGTTTGACAGGGAAATTGGAAGACAACGACTTCCGACATTTGAAAACAGAAGTAATTGCTCATTTTTCAAAGCATTTGAGCTGGAAGTGCCTAGATACATTACAGTTGTCCCACTTATGTTGCCTCATAAATGCAAAGAAGACGTCGACTTTGAAGGATATGATATTGCAATGAACAGTACAGTAAGTTATCGTCAACAAATCTAGCTAAGTATTTGAAAATATAAGTACAAATATAGCTTTATTCATGTGTGGATGATGTGCATGAATATATCAAAATACACACACGTTTTCGTCTTATATTGAAACATTTGACAAATTGTCAGCTTTGATCTGAATATTGTATAATCACATTCACATCATGTCATTGCAATGACCTACGGGTCATGTTTCCAGCTTCCACCTGAACATTGTTTTGTCGGTCGTAAGTTATCTTGCCTGCTTCCATCAGAACAACATCTATTCACATTCAGGTCATGCTGTCTGCTTCCATCTGTACTGTGTCTAATCAGTCGCAGGTCATCTTGCCTGCTTCCATCTGAACATTGTCTTACCACATTAGGTCATGTTTCCAGCTTCCATCTGAACATTGTCTTATCACATTCAGGTCATGTTGCCTGCTTCAATCTGAACATTGTCTTATCACATTATGTCATGTTTCCAGCTTCCATCTGGACATTGTCTTATCACATTCAAATCATGTTGCCTGCTTCAATCTGAACATTGTCTTATCACATTCAGGTCATCTTGCCTGCTTCAATCTGAAAATTGTCTTATCACATTATGTCATGTTGTCTATTTCAATCTGAACATTGTCTTATCACATTCATGTCATGTTGTCTACTTCAATCTGAACATTGTCTTACCACATTCAGGTCATCTTGCCTGCTTCAATCTGAACATTGTCTTATCACATTATGTCATGTTTCCAGCTTCCATCTGGACATTGTCTTATCACATTCAAATCATGTTGCCTGCTTCCATCTGAACATTGTCTTATCACATTCAGGTCATGTTGTCTGCTTCAATCTGAACATTGTCTTTCCACATTCAGGTCATGTTGTCTGCTTTAATCTGAACATTGTCTTACCACATTCAGGTCATCTTGCCTGCTTCAATCTGAACATTGCCTTATCACATTAGGTCATGTTTCCAGCTTCCATCTGGACATTGTCTTATCACATTCAAATCATGTTGCCTGCTTCCATCTTAACATTGTCTTATCACATTCAGGTCATCTTGCCTGCTTCAATTTTAACATTGTCTTACCACATTCAGGTCATGTTGCCTACTTCAATCTGAACATTGTCTTACCACATTCAGGTCATCTTGTCTGCTTCAATCTGAACATTGTCTTATCACATTCAGGTCATGTTGTCTGCTTTAATCTGAACTGCTTTGTCTTACCACATGCAGGTCATCTTGTCTGCTTCAATCTGACATTGTCTTATCACATTCAGGTCATCTTGTCTGCTTCAATCTGAAACATTGTCTTACCACATTCAGGTCATCTTGTCTGCTTCAATCTGAACATTGTCTTATCACATTCATGTCATGTTGTCTGCTTCAATCTGAACATTGTCTTATCACATTCAGGTCATGTTGTCTGCTTCATCTGAACATTGTCTTACCACATTCAGGTCATATTGTCTGCTTCAATCTGAACATTGTCTTATCACATTCAGGTCATGTTGTCTGCTTTATCTGGACATTGTCTTACACATTGTCATGTTGCTGCTTCAATCTGAACATTGTCTTACCACATTCAGGTCATGTTGTCTGCTTCAATCTGAACATTGTCTTATCACATTCAGGTCATGTTGTCTGCTTTCAATCTGGAACATTGTCTTACCACATTCAGGTCATGTTGTCTGCTTCAATTCACTGACATTGTCTTATCACATTTCAGGTCATGTTGTCTGCTTCTATCTGAACATTGTCTTATCACATTCAGGTCATGTTGTCTGCTTCAATCTGAACATTGTCTTATCACATTCAGCCTTGTCATCTGGACATTGTCTGCTTCAGCATCTGCATTGTCTCTCACATTCAGGTCATGTTGTCTGCTTCAATCTGAACATTGTCTTATCACATTCAGGTCATTTTCTCTTCAATCTGAACATTGTCTTATCACATTCAGGTCATGTTGTCTGCTTCAATCTGAAATTGTCTTAACATTCAGGTCATGTTGTCTGCTTTCAATCTGAACATTGTCTTATCACATTCAGGTCATGTTGTCTGCTTCAATCTGAACATTGTCTTATCACATTCAGGTCATGTTGTCTGCTTCAATCTGAACATTGTCTTATCACATTCAGGTCAATCTTGTCTGCTTCAATCTGAACATTGTCTTATCACATTCAGGTCATCTTGCCTGCTTCAATCTGAACATTGTCTTATCACATTCATGTCATGTTGTCTGCTTCAATCTGAACATTTTCTTATCACATTCAGGTCATGTTGTCTGCTTCAATCTGAACATTTTCTTATCACATTCAGGTCATGTTGTCTGCTTCAATCTGAACTTTGTCTTATCGCATTCAGGTCATCTTGTCTGCTTCAATCTGAACATTGTCTTATCACATTCATGTCATGTTGTCTGCTTCAATCTGAACATTGTCTAATCACATTCATGTCATCTTGTCTGCTTCTATCTGAACATTGTCTTACCACATTCAGATCATGTTGTCTGCTTCAATCTGAACATTGTCTTACCACATTCAGGTCATCTTGTCTTCTTCAATCTGAACATTGTCTTATCACATTCAGGTCATCTTGTCTTCTTCAATCTGAACTTTGTCTTACCACATTCAGGTCATCTTGTCTGCTTCAATCTGAACATTTTCTTACCACATTCAGGTCATCTTGTCTTCTTCAATCTGAACATTGTCTTATCACATTCAGGTCATCTTGTCTTCTTCAATCTGAACTTTGTCTTACCACATTCAGGTCATCTTGTCTGCTTCAATCTGAACATTGTCTTATCACATTCAGGTCATGTTGCCTGCTTCAATCTGGACATTGTCTTACCACATTCAGGTCATGTTGTCTGCTTCAATATGGACATTGTCTTACCACATGCAGGTCATGGTGTCTGCTTCAATCTGAACATTGTCTTATCACATTCAGGTCATGTTGTCTACTTCAATCTGAACATTGTCTTATCACATTCAGGTCATGTTGTCTGCTTCAATCTGAACATTGTCTTATCACATTCAGGTCATCTTGTCTGCTTCAATCTGGACATTGTCTTATCACATTCAGGTCATGTTGTCTGCTTCTATCTGAACATTGTCTTATCACATTCATGTCATCTTGTCTGCTTCAATCTGAACATTGTCTTATCACATTCAGGTCATCTTGTCTGCTTCAATCTGGACATTGTCTAATCACATTCAGGTCATGTTGTCTGCTTCTATCTGAACATTGTCTTATCACATTCAGGTCATGTTGTCTGCTTCAATCTGAACATTGTCTTATCACATTCAGGTCATGTTGTCTGCTTTAATCTGAACATTGTCTTATCACATTAGGTCATGTTGTCTGCTTCTATCTGAACATTGTCTTATCACATTCAGGTCATGTTGTCTGCTTCAATCTGAACATTGTCTTATCACATTCATGTCATCTTGTCTGCTTCTATCTGAACATTGTCTTACCACATTCAGGTCATGTTGTCTGCTTCAATCTGAACATTGTCTTATCACATTCAGGTCATGTTGTCTGCTTTAATCTGAACATTGTCTTATCACATTCAGGTCATGTTGCCTGCTTCTATCTGAACATTGTCTTATCACATTCATGTCATGTTGTCTGCTTCAATCTGAACATTGTCTTATCACATTCAGGTCATCTTATCTGCTTCAATCTCAACATTGTCTTATCACATCAGGTCATCTTGTCTGCTTCAATCTGGACATTGTCTTATCACATTCAGGTCATGTTGCCTGCTTCAATCTGAGCATTGTCTTATCACATTCATGTCATGTTGTCTGCTTCAATCTGAACATTGTCTTATCACATTCAGGTCATCTTGTCTGCTTCAATCTGAACATTGTCTTATCACATTCATGTCATCTTCTCTGCTTCTATCTGAACATTGTCTTACCACATTCAGGTCATGTTGTCTGCTTCAATCTGGACATTGTCTTATCACATTCAGGTCATGTTGTCTGCTTCAATCTGAACATTGTCTTACCACATTCAGGTCATGTTGCCTGCTTCAATCTGGACATTGTCTTATCACATTCAGGTCATGTTGTCTGCTTCAATCTGGACATTGTCTTATCACATTCAGGTCATCTTGTCTGCTTCAATCTGAACATTGTCTTACCACATTCAGGTCATGTTGTCTGCTTCAATCTGGACATTGTCTTATCACATTCAGGTCATGTTGTCTGCTTCAATCTGAACATTGTCTTACCACATTCAGGTCATCTTGCCTGCTTCAATCTGGACATTGTCTTATCACATTCAGGTCATCTTGCCTGCTTCAATCTGGACATTGTCTTATCACATTCAGGTCATGTTGTCTGCTTCTATCTGAACATTGTCTTACCACATTCTGGTCATGTTGTCTGCTTCAATCTGAACATTGTCTTATCACATTCAGGTCATCTTGTCTGCTTCAATCTGAACATTTTCTTATCACATTCAGGTCATGTTGTCTGCTTCAATCTGAACATTTTCTTATCACATTTAGGTCATGTTGTCTGCTTCAATCTGAACATTGTCTTATCACATTCAGGTCATCTTGCCTGCTTCAATCTGAACATTGTCTTATCACATTCATGTCATGTTGTCTGCTTCAATCTGAACATTTTCTTATCACATTCAGGTCATGTTGTCTGCTTCAATCTGAACATTTTCTTATCACATTCAGGTCATGTTGTCTGCTTCAATCTGAACTTTGTCTTATCACATTCAGGTCATCTTGTCTGCTTCAATCTGAACATTGTCTTATCACATTCATGTCATGTTGTCTGCTTCAATCTGAACATTGTCTTATCACATTCAGGTCATGTTGTCTGCTTCAATCTGAACATTGTCTTATCACATTCATGTCATCTTGTCTGCTTCTATCTGAACATTGTCTTACCACATTCAGATCATGTTGTCTGCTTCAATCTGAACATTGTCTTACCACATTCAGGTCATCTTGTCTTCTTCAATCTGAACATTGTCTTATCACATTCATGTCATGTTGTCTGCTTCAATCTGAACATTGTCTTATCACATTCAGGTCATGTTGTCTGCTTCAATCTGAACATTGTCTTATCACATTCCTGTCATCTTGTCTGCTTCTATCTGAACATTGTCTTACCACATTTAGGTCATGTTGTCTGCTTCAATCTGAACATTGTCTTACCACATTCAGGTCATCTTGTCTGCTTCTATCTGAACATTTTCTTATCACATTCAGGTCATGTTGTCTGCTTCCATCTGAACATTGTCTTACCACATTCAGGTCATCTTGTCTGCTTCAATCTGAACGTTGTCTTATCACATTCATGTCATGTTGTCTGCTTCAATCTGAACATTTTCTTATCACATTCAGGTCATGTTGTCTGCTTCAATCTGAACTTTGTCTTAACACATGCAGGTCATGTTACCTGCTTCAATCTGAACATTGTCTTATCACATTCATGTCATGTTGTCTGCTTCAATCTGAACATTGTCTTACCACATTCAGGTCATCTTGTCTGCTTCAATCTGAACATTGTCTTATCACATTCAGGTCATCTTGTCTGCTTTAATCTGAACTTTGTCTTACCACATGCAGGTCATATTGCCTGCTTCCACATGTTACCTGTCTTTATGTTAACATTATCACCTATAGGTCATGATGCAGTCCTATATGAGTATTGTTATATCTCGTAGTGCATGTTGCATTCTTCCACCTAACATTATCTGATTACTATAGATCATCTTACCTGCTCCCACCTGAACATAATCTTATTACCTTTATATCATGCTGCCTTCTTCCATCTGAGCATTGTCTAAGTGTTGCCTACTTCCACCATTATCGAATCACACTTATGTCGTGTTGATTTGCTAACTTAACATTTTCAAACACTGTTTACTTGCACGTATTACCGGTATGTGATACTGCTTGCGTCAACAAATGTGTATATTAATATCACACACTATAAGCTATTATTCTATATAACGTTTAATAAAAATATTTCTTTGATTTATTTTCAAACGATTTGCGTTTTTATCTGACTGTTGGGGATATAAACAATTTGTCGACATACAGTATTTCTACGAAGGGTCTTACATATTGATGACAAATATTGAAATACAGTATTTGTAATTATACATTATGTATCGAAAATAAGGTAATCAGGTCAAAGACAAAGATAATAAAGTGTTATCATATTTAAACTTTCCTATGTCATAGGTAGGAAATGAAGGCTGAAAACGGCCTAAATATCTGTAAAGGAGATCATACGTATCGGATACGGTGGCAAAAAGGTGACATGTGTGTGTGTTTTTATATCGTGCGCACGAGATATTTCGTCATGCGCACGATTTTCTAAGTCGTACGCATGAGATAATTAAATGGAGCGCACGAGATACTATGTCGTGCGCACGACTAAGTAACTCCAGCGCGCAGCATAATATATGGCACGATTAGGTAACGCAAGGCCATGACTTAGTAACTCGTGCGCACCACTTAAGTATCTTGTGCACACCCCTTAGTACCTCGTGGCCAGGACATAGTATCTCGTGCCCACCAGTTACTTATCTCTTGCGCACGACTTTACGACATATTATCTCGTGTACGAGATAAATAAAAACTTACAAACGTCATCTCTGTGCCACTGAGAGATTCACTTCGTTGCGTTCGATTAAAACTTTATTGTTTCATCAACATCATTCAAAATACATTTAATAAAGTTTTTAGATAAATTTCATTGAAAACATTTTCTTGGTAAGGATACAACAACATAAAAAGTTATATTTCTATTCAAAGGTAATTGGGAATAGTTGGTATATCCACCACAACAAGAAGATTTGGGGAGATCCATGGAAATTTCGCCCAGAGAGATTCTTGGACGAAGATGGAAATGTGCTGCCTTCTGAACACATATTGCGAAAGAAGTATAATAGTTCAATAGATTCAAGCTCATGATCGGCCTATAATATTTAAATTATAAGAACAGTTTAAATTAATGATTTTCCATTTAAAATATACTGTACCGCTATTTTCTTTACATTGTAATGAATTTTACTATTAAACGAGATTGAAAAAGTTGAATAAGTTGATATACCAATCCTGGATGAAGTAAGAAATTATATTGTAACATCTTTTTGTTTTGTTTCAGCTTGATACCTTTTGGAAATGGGTTGCGTCAATGTCCAGGAGAATCCTTCGCTAAAACACGTTATTTTCTTTATGTCAGTAACCTTTTGCAGCGCTGGTGTTTTGAGTTTCCTGAAGGAAAGCACATCTCGTGTGATCCGAGACTTTCCGAGAACTTTGATATCAGTGTCGTAATAAGACCAAAACCCTTTTACTGTCACGCTAAAAAACGGATATAAATATAATTATGTGCTTTCATGTTATTTGTGCCGACGATTTTTTTTAAACGTATTAATTCATCATAACACTAATTATGATTTTGCAATTATAATACATTGTAGTTGATTTAAAATACCGTATTAGTTCAATAAAGGTTATATAGCATGCAATTATTACTATCATTTATTCGCCAGTTAGGCTACAGAAACATTCTGACTAAAGTTCAGAAGTTTAACAATTGTTGACTTTTGTTAGGAAAAAAAATTGAAGTAATTTTTTAAAATTAACTTGAAATAATAGAATCAATTTGTAACGGGCAAGATTGTTTTTTCCAGCTTATCTGTCAGCTTTATGAATGATGTCATGTTATTTTCGAAATCGAAACTCAGTATTGGTTTTCCAGTTCTTAAAATTAGAAACTGCATCGCTTTCAAAATTATTAAAAGGCTCGCCAATGGTTGGTTTGAAATACCACGACAAGGTGACTACCTTTGGGTGGATGTCAGATTTTAATGCGTAGCGTTATTTAAGAGCTGATTTTAATAAGATTGGCTACAGAAACAGCTTTTCCATTCTAAAATTATATCATTTAAGGTGGAGTCTGGTTCTTTCGATGTCAATTATGGGGTATAAAATGATACAGGTAACGATAATCTGTTGTGTACAATTTATTGTCAGAAAACTGTTACATCTGAAAGGCATGTTCCTCCTCTGTATGTGATAGCTTGACATGTGTAAGAAATGTGTAATTAAGATCAATTTTAATGGTCATCGAAAAGAAAGTTTTATTTGTAAAGTTTAATTTGTGTTTAGATATTAATCATGAAACGAAGTTCAATATTGCCAACATTTTACGACGTGCAAATACATTTCGTTATGACAACCCTGATACCTAGATATGAAATATACGTCGCGCATATTTATTTCGCATGTTCATACATTTCAACAAATTACCTACTAAGTCATGGTGATTCTCTTTAATTAACAAAAAAAATGGTTGTTCAAGTGCATGTAAACTTATTTGAACTTGTGTACGATTTGATATTGGCCTTTTTCATACTAGATACTAGTTATATATAGATAATATATTTGATTGTTAATTACAAAATGTAAGTCAATTATCAATTTCCGATGACATAACTTTAAAAATGGTTCGAGCTAGTATATACTTACAATTAGTAAAATTCTGGTTCTATAGTCAATTACAAAAGTCATAGCAAACAAAAATTATTCAGGTTATGTCAATATACATTATTATTACCCCTCACTTTTTTCGTAATGCTAATTTCCCATAGGCCTCTGGTAGTTATTTTTACTGTTAATGCAAGTGTACCACGTGACTAAGAATTTTGTACTGTTACATAGGTAACATTATTTTTAACAGTATAAACTCTGGTCACGTTGTCTATTTTCTAAATAAAATGAAATAATATGGCCGCCATTTTTTTCTCGATTCATTCTTATTTTCGACGTTAAACCCCGATAGGACATCAATTTCTTCTCTGGAGTAACTATGACACTCATAAAATTTAGTTGTTTGTATCCTAGTGTGCTTTTCGCGTAAAAAAATTCTTTTTGTTGAATAGTCAGAAAGTGAACATCCGTTTTCAACGGAAATAATTGCAATGTAAATAATTATGTGTCAAACTGGAACATGCAGACGATTAAAGCATACAACAAAGAATTATTTAACAATTTTAATCTGTGAAACATTACAGATATGGTGGATAGACATAGGATATCATCGTTTTTTTGTCAAAAACCATGCTTAGAATATTCTGAAACAGAAGGATCAGATTTCACAGATCATAACCGTGTAAATGGGTTAGTGTTTTGTTTTCTAAATAAAACCTAGCTTATTGTATGTTTATGATTTGTAGATATCATCACTTGCTTAAAGAATAAAAGAAAGAGAAAACTTCTCAAGTAGGCCTGAAGTGCACTTAAAACTTAAAAGGTAAAGACAGTTTAGTTATTGTTACTCTTTGTTTATTTTTGTTACAGTTAGATTTAGTTGACAATTTCAGATCATCACAGTATTTTTGTTCGGGGTAATAAAATAAATAGCACATGGGTTTGTGAGTAACAGTAAAAATATCATCCCTCGTAAAAATACTGTTACCCTCGGCTACGCCTCGGGTAACAGTATTTTCCTCGGGATGATATTTTTACTGTTACCCACAAACCCATGTGTTTTTTAAATACTAACACAATAAATTTGATATAATTCTAATATTGTTTTTATAGTTATCACAGTCTGTAGTCGTTACCTCACTGTGCAGATGAATTTGAGCAAAACATATGTAAAATGTTTTGTTTATTTAAGCATTTGATTCATATTGAGGCGGCAAGTAAGCTTAGAAAATCAATTTAAAACAAAAGAAAAAACGTGAAATTATTTATGTCCAATAGTATTGCAGTATACCAAATGAAGCGCGATTGACCAATTTATCTAATAAACTTTAAAATATACTTAAACATCATTTTTACTTTAATTTCTGCTTGACATTCCGTGTTAACAAATACCCTTTTATAATAATCATAAACATTTTATGAAAAATGAAATATGTATAATAAAACAAAAAATAAGTCTCCACCATTTAATTCAATTCTACCATGCAGAGTTATTAATGCACCGACACGTTTAGCTTCCCTTCAGAAAGTGATACCCATTAAATCAACCGGTAATTCAAACCTTGTGCGTATATACATATAGAAAGAGAATGATTTGCCACAGGCGTTTATATTTTTGTTTTTTTCTACATTTAAGAATATAAGTCTCTTGTAATTTATTTGAATTCTTTCATAAAGATTTCGATGTGGGCCCTTTTCAGTCCTTTTTTTAATTAGATTTTTTTTTCTTTGATTTAAATACAACTTAACCAACCGTACCTTCAAAGTCTCGCACTTCCGCTTTTTATAAAATATTTCAGCGTCTCGTTTAAGTGAACGGTCGTTACTCGTGATCCAGTTTCATCTTAATTCCAAATGCAATAAATAACAACTCCCTATCACATGATTTAAAGACGTGTTGTTATCATTTATCAACCGGGAACATTGTATTTGCCACGCAAAAAAGACAAATAATAAGTTAATAAAATTTCTTGATCGGAACACAACTGTTTTTTTCTTGTTTCCCTATGAAGAAAATCTTACTATAATTATAAGTATTTTATAAACAATGCAGCAGAAGATCTATAGATTTTTTCTTTTTTTTCAAAGTTTTACTTTTTCTGTTCAAAACATATTTTGTGGTATCTGTCTCTTCTATCGATAATGGACCGAAGGATATGAGAAGTCAGTATCAAGTTGATATTGTAAACGTAAAAAACATGTAGCACCTAATATATGAAAAACATGATCAACAAGGGAGGGCGGCGTAAATGAACGCAAAATCGTATTGTGTGGTTACTTTGAGGGATAATTATACAGCACATATTATCGTAGTGAATATGTACTACCAATTTACCTCACGTATATACAATATATAATTCATTTCTGCCTGACAACAAATGACTCTACACAAAGACATGCTGACTGTGTACCTAAATCTGAAAATAAATGGCAGATGAGGGAAGCTGTCTTTATTGACAAGCCCTACCATTGTTACCTTTCTCGAAAGGCATGACTTAAAATATACAAACAATACTTGTTTTGTTTCATACCATTGACGTTTTCAAGTTATGCTTTAGATATTCATAAGCCTATTCAAAGAATAACCTGATAAATCATTTGGAATCGACACGCTATATTTTTTTAATCAATATCCCAGTTGTGGCAACAGCGAACCTCTTCAAACGTACTTGTTAAACACATTTTAATCGGAAATGTCTCCAAGAGGATATAGGCGATTTTTTGTAACATACATCATAATGCAAATATGTTTAGCGGAACAAAATATCAAACATAAAGCTCGGATAAACTATAAACTCAAAGTTGACTATATATCTAACGAAATCAGTTCAAACAGTACTGCTTATTGTTTGATAACTTGCTCCATGCAGCAAGATTGTATAACGGTGTCATTTAAATCGTCGGCAGACAATTGTCTGTTGTCGTCGTATGACACAATTGATGATGGTGAGCAGATACCTGGCATCCCTGACGGATTGATATTTGCTGACGGATGGACTACAATGACGAAGATGAGATATCCAGGTAACAAGTTAAACTTTTCATATTCTTAAGCTTTTTAATATCAAACAAAGATTTTCTATTAAAAAAATGTTTTTAACTTTTTTTAAACAAATATTTATCACATCCCCGATGTTGCGACTTCGAAAAAATGGTATTGCATGGTCTGCATATATTTTGACTTGACGTCATTTACCTCATTTACCTTATGATATAAACATAGCGTTAAATATGATAAACAAAATCAACAAGCAAAAGGCGTCGTTTTATGAACACAATCCCCACATGGAATAGCGGCATGACGCCAAGGACACCAAACATATACAGGACAGGGTACAAGGCCGAGCATGGACAGGATAATCAATTTGATATTACATAAATGTAGATTATAGTAACTGACAAGGAAATCAAATGCCAATTAAAACCAATAAAACATTTTCCGGGCGGTAACAACAGCAACGTCAACTACACTATTGCTATAGCAATGCCTTTTTTTCTCCGCTAAAATGGCTCCGACTTCAAGCACATTTGGTATGCTCGGTACTTATAAATGTGATTTGTATTTTAAGAGGAGAGAACTTATTTTGATATGTGTGTGTGTCGATACATAACAAAATATTTCAATTACAAAACGAAAGTTTTCTCAATTGACCTTTATCATTTTATATCAGATTACTTCTGTATTTCATATTCTTAAAAACAGTTTCTACATTTTTTTTTCCAGTTTTTCACGCGACTGGTCAATATGTGCGCTATGGTATGTTTTTTGAACAAGCTAAGCAACAATGCATCCATTATGGAACAACTATTGCCTCCCCGACAGAAGTTATAAATGCACGATCCATGGGTTATGCATGTTGTTCTTGTAGCTGGATGTCAGATGGTTCCAATGGTTATGTTGTGCAGTTCTACAGCTACAATTGTG